AGTTTTCGACACGGAAGACAAAACATTAGTAGTAAAAAAATAGAAATGTACTAAGAGAAAATCTACACATGATTACCTCCGACAAGGGTATTCAAAAAATGCTAACCATATAGTCTAGCTACTTACACCTTTGATTTTATTAATTATAGCAACTTGATCGTGCTCAGAAACGATCTGATAATCAGCCACTTGAGTGTGCAGAGAAGCCAGCCCCGACGAAAGTGTTCTCAAGGTGGTAGGAAAACCAGCCATTTCCGAAAGCGGAAGATGAGCACATATCAATGTTGCTCCCCCTGAAATATGAACAAATGATTTCGAGTAAAACTGAACGGAAATAGCTCTAGAAGTGGCTTTTAGCAAAAGCAAGGCTATTCCCAACTTCAATTTTGATGTGATGGCTTCCTAACGGCGAAGCCTAGGACCTCAATAAAAAAAGAAGCAACAAGTATTATCGCTTACAATGAGTTCCACAACATTCAAGGACCTCTCCTCGTCGCCGGGACAACTCGTGAAGGATTGGTTGTGCTTCACAGCCTTTTTCCAATGTAATGTCAAGTCGCATGACCGGTTCAATCAAATGGGCACTGGCTTTTTCAAATGCCTCCGAAACACATTTATGGGCACAAGCAGACACTAAAAAGAAAGGCTGTATATCAAAATTTCAATAAAATTTTCCCGAAAAGAGCGAAGAAAAATCCAAATTTCCGGACCAGGTTTTTATTTATATTCGAGAATACTCCTTCTAATCGAGGCCCGAAATTCAAAGAGAACAACTTCACTTACAGACAGCGGGGTTGACTCGTCCTCCACTGGTAGTAATTGCCTTCAAAGTAATTACAATATTTTGTACTGGGAAACCTAGTATTGGTCCATTATGGACAGCATTCAGACAGCCTTCATTTATGGCTTTGAGCCAATCTGCACGAACAGTCGGCGCATCAGATGGGAGCTCCAGTTGAACCTTAATGTATTTTGACGTCATCACAAGACAGACCGCTCGTTAAATAATTTAGTGTTCTAGATCAGGTGAAAAATATATTGAGCAATTTTACGCAGTAACAGCGAAGCCTAATTCGCTGAATTTGAGCGAGCAGATATGATGCAGCGATATTCTTTGGACATGAAAACAGAGATTTTGTGGCGAGCAATGTCACTGGCTAGTTCAAGAATGAAAGCAGCTGTCAATGCAGGTAGCGTCCCCCCTCCCTCAAGTACCGCACTTTGCAGCCATATTTGGGAACTCTAAGATCACAAACTGGATTTGCCGTAGAGATAATTGTATGTTAATCCAAGTCAGATGCGTTTCTCCGGAACTTTTGGCGTGATTTTGTTTTCTGCACAGGGGAGTTCACAGTCAGCAGTAGAGAGGGTCAAATCTTACGGAATAGTAGTTCTAGTTTCTGCTTAGGGAAGAGCACCGAAACATGCATGCATATAAATCTATGAAATCTGCAGAAATACACATACGCTTACAACCGTCGGCATCACGCACTACCAATAATGTATCATTAGACCAAAAAAGGAATGACTATGAACAAGAAGAAAGATGAAAAAAGAAGAAAAGGAATTGACATACCCCTTTAAATTTTCCACTCTTTCTCATGGGCTCTATACAAAGAGGTGAGGGTGGCGCTATGGACCCGTTTCTTCTCTTCCATTGTGTCTTGCGCAGTAGCTGCATGCGTGACAGGTTCATCCACAATCTCTCGATAAGCTATCTGAAGATTTGGTTATCAATCATTGAGTGGATAATTTTGAGCGGATATGATAACATGCTTTTGGTTCCATTTGTGATGAGACAAAAACGCATAGCGAACCTGCAGGGGGCCGACAAACACGTTGAGACCATAGTCTCGAACAAGGCGATTTTTGATAATATCCATATGCAGCTCGCCCATCGTTTCCACTACGGTCTGACCAGTTTCCCCATCATATCGAACTCGCAGTGAAGGATCCTATTCGTAGAAAGAATTTCTCACCTAAGCCGTTAATAAGCATAAAGCCAAAACTCACCTCTACAGCTATTTCACTCAAGGCGCGCTCAAACTCTTGATTAGACTTCGAAGACGGAGGTTCAACGCAGCAAAAGTACACAGGCTCAGGACAATCGATTCCTTGATAATTAAGAGAGCCGTTTTGATGCAACATTTGGAATGAACAGGCGACTACCTTTCAGCACCACGTTCTGGCCTTCAGTGATAACCTCCATCTCCAGCTGATCTCCATTTGAAGCTGATGGGGGAAATACGTCATGCGACAATTTTCGGTGATTGTCAATGCTGCGCCGCCTTCTCACTGTGACGCAAGGTATGCTGTATGTGCGAGCTGATGGATGCACGATCCACGCAATAGAGGAAGTCCTGATTGAAGGATTTTTCAAAGAATTGTACGCATCAGTTAGACATAATCTTAAATCTTTTTACTCGATAACAAAAGGGCTAGTCAAGCTGCAGAAGAAACCACTTGTGCAACAACAGATATTTTGCCTCAGAGACACTATTACGGAATTATTCGCTACTACGCAATAAGACGCAAATAGCTGCGATAAAATGAATGGTTACAGCATAAGTTTAATGTTCTGTACCAAACGCCAACGAGTTGATTTCTATGCCTATATTAAAACAAAGATAAAGAATTCGGAATGTGCACACAAACTGCACTATGCAAAACTGCCGCTTACTAATAGAGAATGCTCTTTCTAACTTTACCATTTGAAGCCTTTCTCTAAATCAAACTTCGAGCCACGAACCTTTATCGGACCTTCAGTTGTTCCACGATTGGAATTGAACAAAACGGAATTACTTGTTAATGTGCCAGCATAGACTCGAACAAAGCTAAGCTTGCCTTTCCGCTTGTCGTGCCCGATCTAAACCAATGATAAAATTGGAAGAGAGAGAGACAAACTTATAAAAATAAGAACACCTTGAAAACGAAGCCGCAAAATTCCTTGTCGAACAATTTCGTGACAGATGCATTTCTCTCCTTTGGTGAAGGCAAGAAATTGACGACATGATCAAGAACAGGCTGAACACTGGCCGGACATCGAAGAGCGCTTCCACATCCGATGGCGGCCCCGCGATTCGACAGCGTAATTCGGCGTAAAGCTAAATATAAAAATTGGACTAAACTTATGGTATGACATAATTACTTAAAAACAAATCTAGGTCTACACTACAAGTAGAACGATGCAGTTGGAATTTTCGAGAGACGAAAAATTCCTAATGGCCTTAAAAAATGAGTTGTGTTATTTTTGACGCAACCATAACCAGGAAATGTAGTGCAGATGTGACACACGCATTTAGAGTATTTTGAGCACCGGGAACCCCTCCAACAGTCGGACACACTGTGATGTGAAATTTGCCCGATGAATGTACAGAAGTAAAGTTAATGACAAAGCGGAGGCACGCAGTGGATAGAGGGGCAACCTGAGTATTCAGTCGCGGAGGTAACGCTAGCAAATCATCAAGGAGGACTGGGCTTGCTCCAGAAAACAAAAAAAACTAGCTTCAAGATCGGCTAGACGGGGAGTTGTTGTCTTAGGCCGCTGCGTATTCAAACATCTCTATATTCTTTACGCAAGTCAAACGTGTGACACATATCAAAGATCTTGATCAAACGAACCGTACTACCATATTCTTCCAACAACGCTGTGTCGATTAAAGCAAATCTCTAGCCCTAGAAATGTGCAAGCACGGCGAGTCAAATTAAGACGAACACGATTCGGAAACATGGCCAGCGATTAAGCATGTTTGGACGAAGGTATTCAGAAGCTCATTTACATGCGATTGTTCCCTTAACCGAACCCCCGAGTAAAAAAAAGAAAACAAAAAGGTTGTCTATACTATTGTAAGGTGTAGGGATAAATTCAGACTCGAATATGCCTCTGAAAGCGTCACCGCATTCTGACTTTGCATAAAAATCAAGAAACATATGAGGAACTAAACAAAGAACATGGGAAACCCACAAACCTTTAATTATCTCCACTTGGGGAACTTTCATGGGATCTCCACCAGATCCGTCCAAAAATAATGACATGAACTCCGCATCCAAATCCGATAGATCACAGCAAAGATTCTCTCGAGATGCCCTCAGCACATCTCCAACAGGGGTGTCACTCTGATATTATAAGTACGTATAATTCAGCTCTGTTCTAATTATTTCTCAATTTCGCCATACCTCAACATTCTGCCACAAACCATCAGAAGTTAGAGGAACGAACTTTTTGCTTACAGCGTCAACAATTCCGCACAGATTCTCATTCTCATAAATTGGAGATGTCGTAGCTAATGCTGAACAAGACAACAACAAATCAGATTTCTTCTATGAAGCAAAAAACCCATTAGCTTCGAATTAACAAGGAAGC